CGTGGGAGTCCAGCGACATAGCCATTACGCTAACTGCTGGTTACCTGAACCTTGTAATTTTTGAGATTTTTCAGTTATTTTTAAAATTATTGAGGTCAATATATTCTTTTTTTTTTTTTTTAAGAAAGAGAGGTTGTTTTGTTTTGTTTTGTTTTGGCTATATGATGCATGCACTCACTGGAGAGACAGAGACTGAGAAGTCACCCCCTATGGGGGTTGGCTACATTGCAATCCCTTCTCCATTCTCCTCTTGGGATTTTGGGCATGCATGCACATGCGCCTGGCGTGAGTTTTAAGCCGCTGGGTCTGGGACCTGAACTTTGGTTGCCTACGTGAGAGTCCTGCGATGCAACCATTATGCCATCTGCTGGTGCCAAGATCAGTATATTCTAAATAATAAAGATTCAAGTGATATGAATGGCAGGACTAAATTACATTTTTGACTGAAGTATTTATTCAAGAACAGCAAATTAGGCTTTATATTTTTATCTCCATCATATCATATAAACATTGTAGTATGTAAACTAAAAAGTAAATGGTGTTAAAGGATAAAGAAACCTACTATAAGAAGAATCCTGACATCTGATTTGGAAACCACATATTTGTAAAGACATTTAATTCCTTAGGCTTGAACAACCAGAGTTTGTGATCCAGCTAGTTTACCTCTCCTTCTGCCTATGTTTGTGAGCTGTGTATTCTCTTGGCCCCTGGGAGAAGCAAGGTAAAAACAAGATACTCAGATACTCTGTCTTACTAGGTCTGGCAGTGCTTTCTTCTCTATGTGAAGATATTATTCTTAGCCACATCGCCTAAGGTGTGTGCTTAACTAGTGGTGACAGATTGTCACTCATCCACACTCTTAACAAGTATGCCAGGAGGGAGCCTCTCACAGTCACCCCTGTGGGCTACTATGCTGAGCTGGTCAGTCTGGGAATCTACACCTGAGGGGGCTCTTTGAGGCATCAGCTCTGGAATCTGACACCAAGGCCCAAGTTCTATGTTGCTGTCCTAGGTATAGGTCAGTCTGTCACTTCCTGCTATCCAGGGCACTCCCAAGGAACCCAGCTTTAACAAAATCATGCCAGTCACAGCATTTAGGGGCAGAGACATCCAGAAAGGGACCAGAAAATGAAGAGATTGAAGCCTGAAGATAGGGCCTCTTTTTGTAACTCACCTGTTTGCAAAATGTTGATATCTATATAGATAGATAGATAGATAGATAGATAGATAGATATAAATAGATAGATAGATAGATTCTTTCCAAGATTTTATGCCATTAAAAACATCTTCAATCCATTTTTTCACTTACTGTTTCAGATTATGAATGCAAATCAAATCTCCCTTGAGTCTCTTAGACTATGGCCTAACCCAAGCATTCCCCGCTCCCTTTCATGGCATGATCCAAATAGGAAGGCTCTAATGTTACATTAGCTGCTTTAATTAGAAGCACTGTAAATGGAGACTAGGAACAGCCGTTTGAAAATGCTAAGCACTTAGTTGAGTCATCAGTAGAACTAGTATCAAAACTGCACTTTTGCTTTTAGGTGTTCTGCTATAGTCCTGAAAGGGTGGGATGACATTCTAACCTGCTGGCTTGGAGGCTGAGCCATCTGAGCTGACCAGTGGTCTTTGGTCTTTTGGGAATAAATCTTCCATTTGTAGGATTGCTAACCTAGAGGCAAATACTCTGTTTTGTTTTTCTTTAATTTAAAGCATAGGCTACATAAATTTATTTCACAGGCAATTACAGCTCACATTTGAGTTTCCATGTCATACACTGCCTTTTATGCAGTGTTTCATTTAATCCTTTTTTTTTAATTCATTTATTTTGTCCTGTAATTTGATTTAAAACTCAGTTTTGTAAAGGACTGAAGATTAAATTTCAAATGTGAGTCCATTTTATGATCTATTCAGGGAAAAAGAAGACGGAAAGAAAAGAAGGTAAGAGTGAGATAGCAGGATGGGTAAAAGAGAAGGGCACAGGGTGTAGGGAGAAGCAGTAAAACAGATTCCAACAACACTGATCTTCATATTCTGTAATTTGATTCTGCAGTGGCCTTAGGGTGTCCCAGCCATCCCCTGTGATTTCTTTCTCAAAAGTTGGTACAACCTTTGCAACTGCCTCCTCCTCTTGGAGGTTCTACTTTGCATGAGGGCTTTGTTTCCTGGGCTGTAATGGCCAGAACAGTATTTCCCTAGACCTCAGGTCTAACTAGGCTGGGGCTGGATCAGGTGCAGTAAGGGGCTCTGTTTCCTCATTTAGGAAATAGAGAAACGGATAGACTCGACACAAAGTTTTATACTTAGATATGTTAAAATTCATGTTTATAAAAGGAAAATCAGAATACTGAAGGAAGACTAAGTGTCTCTAATGGCATGCTTTATGCTTTCCCCTTCTGCTGCAGCAGCTGCTGACCTGAGAGAGCTTCCTAGCAGTCAGTCACCTTCCTCCTTGCTTCCTGTCCTGAGATCTGGGACACGTCCACATTCAGTGCTATCTTGGTGGCGTGGGCTTTGGGTGCCTTCTTAGATCTGTAGTCCCTCTCATTAAACATTTCACCAAAAATCTACCCAGTGTGTGATGCTTAGTTTGTATTGTCATCTGTAGTGTTTTGTTTTTTTTTTTTAACCTGACTGACTCTGCTGTGATCCTCTTAAACCTTTGGTAGGAATTAGGATCGATTCTTTGGTGGGGTTTGAGTTCAGAGACAGGAAGTTACATTTCTCTTTAGAATGTGGTGTAGGACTGCATCACACGTGGTTGGGGTGTATGGCACAGCTTGTGCAGTTTCATGGACTGGCAGAACCAGGTTGAAGATGTGCTTGTCGCTACTGGATGCTTGGGTTCCTTTTGTCATGGCTCGTATAGCTTTGGAGAACACCATTTGTTATGGGTTAGAAATGAACAGTAAATCTCTGCCATGAGAACATATGAATGCAGTTATCTCCAAAATAAAAGCCTGTAAACTCCTCTTACAGGTCCCCATTATGAGGCATGATACTGTACCTGTTTGTATGTGAGTCATGGGCTGAATTCCAAGCTTGATTTCTTCCTGGGCCTCACAGATAGTGATGTTACTAGCTCTGCTTCCCAGAGCAAGCTTCTAGGTGTCAGGGCTGGCCTCAAGTCAGCCAGCCATTGGGAAAGAGGAGGAAGTAGAGTCCACATTTGTTTGATCCCATGCGTACTCTTAGCTGGCAGCTTTAGGGCTTATAGGCATCTACCATTTATTTATTCATAAAACCGTTCTGCAAACTTGAGGGAGGTGTAAACCAATCCAAGAAACATTCTGTTCACCAAGTATGCATTGAATGCCAGTTGTAGAGAACTTGGTGGAAACAAACGATAAGTGATTCTAACAACTCTAGTCTAAGGGTAATGATGATAAATAAGGTAAGAATAGTAGACTATTAAAGTGAAAAATCACTTTGAGTTTGAAGTTAGAAAGTTTGTTTTTGTTAGTAAACTAATAGGGAGTGAATAAAAAAGCTAGTCCGCCTGCTGCCCTAAAAGAAGAAGGAGAGTGTGGGTATTAAAATCATTCTCGAGCCCAGCATTTATGGTTGCTTAGTAGTTACTACAAAACATAAGCATAGTCAGACATTGCTGCGGGTGTGGCTGTGTTCTTCAGTGACTCTGAGCTAGGAGGCGCCTGAAGAGACACTCTTAGCTCATTGTTCGAAGATGGAGGCTGCTGCCAGCTCAAAGTCTTGAAAGCTTTGCCCCTTCAACACTCTCTTCCTCTGTGTTGCTGTGAGGAAATCGAGATTTAGGTGTTGGTCATAGTAGACCGGAGTGAACTGAGGCAGCTAAGCAGGTATTAAGCATTACATAGTCACCGTTAATATTATTTGCAAAAAAACATTGAAGTGTAAATTAATAGGATACCAAATAGGAAGAAAGTGTGCTTGCTAAATGTGTGTTCTGGCCAGGTTAGTGGGTTAAGTGTCCCTAAAGAATTTGAAATGCTGTTTGTAATGCAGGAATTTTGTGTTATTTACTGAAATGAATAGCTACAGTAAATTATAAATACTTAATTTTTAAAAGAATATTTGGGCTGTCTCTAAGAGAATGGTATAAATTGAAGTACTTTTGAACTAGTTTATGGTAACTAGTTATTTATATGTAAATCTCTTTTTTTTGTCCAGGATGTTCACATTTTTAGTTTTATCTTCTTTAGATTTTTCAACAACAGATTGTGATTCACATTACTACTGTGAGGACTTTTTTTTTAAATTCAGGGTGTGTGTGTGACTATTTTTAGCTAGAGGAAAGTTTGAGTCATTCCAAAGAAGCCTTGATGACAACCTGAGAAACCATCTGTGCAACACTGATTTAAATAATAATCTGTGCTTTCTTGAGAAGAATGGGTTAAATAATGCCTAAGCTATTTTATTGGGTTGTCGGAAAAGTCATGATGTGTTTTTCTGTTTTTCTATGCAAAAATGCATCATGACTTTCCCAACAACCCAGTCTTACTCACCTTGTAGTTTGTTTTCCGATTCTGAGGTGCTGGTGGAAATGGGTTGTCTGGGAAAGCATACTGGTGCATTTTTGGAATGAGAATTTATTTTATTTTAGTTCCTATCAATAAAAACTCATTTCAGAAAAGTGAGAACACTTTGGCACCCTTGAGAATTTAAAAACACATTTATTTGGTAAAGAATCCTAAGTTCTTTTCAGTATTTCTCTGATGGTGCCCAGCTTTCATAATTAACGTCAGTTGGTCTAGGGTTTTCCCCTTGGCCATTTGTTTATGGGTTTATTCTATTAGGAGACTGGACATACCAGAGTGTCCCTGGACTTGTGAGAAAACTTGTCTTTCATTACAATTTTGATAGTGACCTTTTATCAGTTCTATCTTGTATAAAGGATGACTGAACCAGGTAGGGCTTGCTGGTATGGGTCAGCAGGTGGCATGGTGGTTAAAGGAACTGGACTTGCTGGAATTTCCTAGCCCTTTTAACTCGCTGCCTTCTTTTTTCTCTGCCTTCCGCAGTATGATTTGAGGTCGTAAACATGGATTTTTCTCGGCTGCATATGTACACCCCTCCTCAGTGTGTGCCGGAGAACACTGGCTACACCTATGCGCTCAGGTGAGCGGGCGTTACACAGGGTAGGGGGCTGGGAGTGTGAACCCCACACGGGAACTCGTGGTGCTGCCAGCTCAGCATTTCTTATGGGGAAGAAAGTGTAAATAATGCCATAAGCTACTTTGTCATTCATGCCGTGTTGAATGTATAGAAGTTTCTAACTCTATATTCCTTTATGGCTTTACAAAACTACTCTGAAGACTTGGAAGCTGTGAGGTTGTCCTGAAAGCTGTGTGTTTCCGAGTTGCTTTGTTCTGGTGACTCAGTGGTTAGTCATCACCTAAGCCTGTTGCTTTAGGCCCCACCCAACTGCTGCAATCGGGAAAGCAAATCTTTGTGGTTATTGCTAGTATTCTGTGATTTACAGCAATCGTTTGTAATCTTAAAGTTGACAGAAATAACATAGAAAATTCTTTGCCTTTTGGAAGGAGGCATCATAATACAAAATTCGATTGATGCCCGAGGTTTCAAGAGCATGACTCTTGTCAGATGCCGAGTTTTTTGTTTTTATTCATATCTGATATGTTGAACTTTGAAGTCTGTGAGTCTTACAAGTTTCTGGCCTGCTCTTTACATTGCCAGTATAGCAAATATAAGGACGACTGAAATGAAACTTAAGTTTTATAAAATTCTTAATTAATGCCAAAGGAAAATATATGACTAGACTGCATAGGATTTGATTGGGAGGTAGAAAACTTTGCACACCTTGGCAAAATGTTCCAGATACACGTTTGAGAAAATACTCTTGCAGTTTTCTCAGTGATCTGTCTTCTAAAGGGTGAAATATAATTAAAACCTCAAGAAAATTAGAAGGTATTGTTAAAAAAAAACTCAGCATGAGCTAAATCTGCAGTTAATGATTGAGTTTCTATCCCAAATTCTAGATCAAGTCATCCCTTCTATGCTAACACTCTGTGTTTGCTCAGACCCCTGTAGTTTCTCATCACAAATTGTGACCTACTCAGGTGAAGTTGCTCCCTATTCTGTATTGTGGAGCATAACAACAGTTATTTTTGGTAATTTAAGAAATTAAATTATATATTGGGACCACCAGGTGATGTGATAGTTAAAGGTGCTGGACTTCCACTTGGCCAGCCTCTGTTCAAGTTCTGTACTTGGTGGCTTGCTTTCTCACTTTCCCCCTGTGTCTCTCTGATCAAACTGGAAAGTGATAATAAATAAAGTTTAATAAAATAATTCTGTTTTAGAAAAAAAAAAGAAATACATATATTAAAAAGCTTTATTTTTTGAAAGAGAGAGAAAAATATAAGCACCTTTCATCCTTGTAGGTCCCGTTAAGCCTCTCTTACCCAGCCAAAATCGTAGGCATGCGTGTGCACAGCGTCCAGTGTGTACAAGTCAACTAAGGAGCTGAATCTCAATGTGACGTGGCTCCAGCACTGCAGAGCATTGTGATATTACTGCACCATCGTGGGTGGGCCTAAATAAATATATATTGGGTTGTTAGGAAAGTTATGACCCTTTTTTGCATAGAAAAACAGAAAAATATGGCATGAATTTCCCGATCACCTAAACATTTACAAATGTGCATTTTAGGTTTGTACATTGAGAAAATGATACTATTAATGTCAGTGATATTTGCAGCTTTCCTTCACTTAGACCTGTGTAGGCAAGTGGAGTGAAGGAGTGAAGGTGGGCAGAAACCAACTAGTGTCGTTTGTAAGCTGTGTTGGGAATTTGAATTGTATATAAGGGCAGTGGGAACCTATGAAGAATTTTAATAGAGGAGTTATTTTGGAGGCTGCAGCAGGATAGAGAGTAGGTGGGGCTTATTCAGCTATCTAGAAAG